GCTTGTCAGCCAGCCTCACCAATTGGTATGCTCCGGGTTGAGTGAGAGATTTAAAAAAAAACAAACAAACAAACAAAAAACAACAACAACAATAAATAAGCGATTGAGGAAGACACCTGAAAGGAGCCTATGGTGTGCACACACATATGGACCCCCATGCATATGGACTCCCACACACATGGTCCCCCACACATAAGGACCCACACACATGTACATTCATGAACACACATACACATGAACACACATACACATATGGACCCCCCACATGGACCCACACACATATGGACCCCCACCACATGGACCCACACACGGTCCCACACACATAAGGACCCACACACATATGGACCCACACACATGTACACTTCTGAACACACATACTCACAACAAAAGGGTTTGTAATTCCAAGATCCAGAAAGAGAAACTCATTGTACCCAGGGGCTTGTAGTACAGGCAGCCTTGTGCCAAACAGGAGGCAGAGACTGAGGGAGGCAGGAAGGGAGAAGGTTGTCAAGGTTGTTACTGTGGCTTCCACAGGAACAGCAGGCAGGTAGGCAGGCAGAACAGTTCAGGGATAGCTGCTGTGAACCATAGGAATCATGTGTGTTCCCCTAGCCAGAGGGCGATGTTTATCCCTGGCCTGGGGTGATAAGAGCAGGTGGCAGATGGACCAGAGGGTGGCAGCTCCTGGAAGAGGCGGGCTTTTATGCTGAGATTTGAAAGCATTGCTCATAGGCAAAGTCTGCTCTCTCTAGGAATTACCCTGACTTCTCCAGGGGCAGCAAGGCCACAAATGTCAAAGCATCAGATCAAAGGTCTGCCGAGCCCAGAAACCATGAGCAGTTCCTTTACCTCTCTGAGCATGCGATAGTCTGTGAAATGGAGACACTAACAGGCAGTTAGGGTTTATTGTTCAGAATGGGTGAAATAACGCAGGGTTTGGCATAGCACCCGACGCTCTGGAAGCCTTCAGTATCGGTGGTACCCTTACTCTTTCTTCTGTTTCCAAGCCGTTCTTTCTGAAATACGAAGACACAGGTTGGGGCTTCCTGGGAGCACCCCTTCCCACAGTTAAGACAAGGAGGAGATTGTGAAGGCTGAGTGGATAAAAGTCCTTTTCCAGGGCATATACTACAGAATCTGAAGCTAGCTGGGGACCCTTGCATGTAAAAAAGCACCCAGACAGGTTTTGTTCGTAATCCTAGAGAAATCTCTCAAGGTTCGGCCCTGCCCTTGGGAGCTAACCTTTACCCCAAAACAAAGCAGCAAAGGAGATTCAGCATCTGTGTATGGAGGGATAGAGAATAAATGGGAAAAGAGGAAGGCATGGGGGGGGGCAGTGAAGGTTGTGTTCTGAATGCGGTGATTGTGGGCCAAGAAGCTGATCTCTGATAAAGGTCTCAGTGACGTGATATTTGGCTACACACGTGTGAATACTGGCGAGGAGACCCTCAAGCGGAGACAATTTCTAGGGGTGAAGTGATCCTGGAGGGGTTGGCATGGGTGGACCCCTGAAAGGACAGAGGGGCTTACGGAGGATTCCCTACCATCAGGACCTCTATCTGAACCTTCTGGAGATGGACCACTGAGAGGTGCAGGCAGGGGGCTGGCAGGTGCATGTGTAACTCTTGAGACAGCCTAGATTGAATGGAGCCTTGAAGGTCCATCTAAGGACCACAGCTGTACTGGAAGGATGTGGCCCATCAGTCACAGCAGCATCTAAGGACCACAGCTGTACTGGAAGGATGTGGCCCATCAGTCACAGCAGCATCTAAGGACCACAGCTGTACTGGAGGGATGTGGCCCATCAGTCATAGCAGCATCTAAGGGCCATAGCTGTACTGGAGGGAGCAGGCTAACCATGTAGTGGTTTGGAAGCCTAAGCAATTCCATGGCTTCAAGGACCTATGATTTGTTTCTCCTTGCTGCCTGTGGGCTGTAGGTCTCTGGGGAGTGGCCACTGGCTATTCTGGAATGTCTGTGAGGACAAATTCCATGTGGGCCACAAGTTTATTTCCTGCTGTACAAGCTCAGCACTCTTGGTCTCCCGAGTGGAAAATAATAGGGCAGTGATCGTTCCCATTGTGTTAGGAGGAATCCCAGATCAAGCCTTCCTCCTATTTCACTTGCATAAAACTCCTTTCTGACAGCCAAGTCATGACAATCCCAGTAGGTGCTTAAAGATTAGCACCAAGAAATGAATTCTGGCTTGGTGGTGGTGGTACACCCCTTTAATCCCAGAACTCAGGAGGCAGAGTCAGGCGGATCTCTGTGAGTTTGAGGCCAGCCTGGTCTACAGAGCAAGTTCCAAGACAGCTAGGAAACACAGAGAAACGAGAGAGAGAGAGAGAGAGAGAGAGAGAGAGAGAGAGAGAGAGAGAGAGAGAATGAGAATGAATGAGTTCAAAGCTGGGCATGGTGACACATTTCTTTAATCTCAGCACTTAGGAGACAGTGGATCTCTGTGAGTCTGAGGCCAAGCTGGTCTACAAAACAAAAACAAATTCAAGGACAGCCAGGACTGTTACACAAAGAAACTTTGTCTTGAAAAAACAAACAAACAAACAAAAAGAAAGGAAGGGAGGGAGAGGGAGAGAAAGAGAGAGGGGGGGTGAGTTGGAGCTGGGAAGATGGTTAAGCCAATCAAGTGTTTATCATGCAAGCATGAGGACATCAATGATCCTCAGCATCACATAAAAAGCCTTGTAATCTCGGTATTGGGGTGTAGAGACAAGGGCATCCCTGAAGGTCACTAGCTAGCCAGCCTAGCCTTCTAAGTAACCTCAGGTCCCAATGAGAGGCCCTGTCTCAAAACATAAAGTGTATAGCTCTTAAGAAATGTCACCCGACATTGACTTCTGGTCTTTACATGCTTGTGCATATGTCTATGCATGCCTATACACAGAGAGACATGAATACATGTATACACACACACACACACCTGTGCATGCACACAAACAAAAATAAGTGAATTCAGTTGTTAGAATTCTGGAGATTGAGGCAGGATGATTGGGAGTTCCAGGCTAACCTGTGCTACAGTAGTGAGTTTGAGACCAACCTAGGCTACTTAGAAACACCCCAATTCAAGGGAAAAAGGGAAGGAAGGAAGGAAGGAAGGAAGGAAGGAAGGAAGGAAGGAAGGAAGACTGGTTAGTCAGGTGGCAATGGAGTCACAAGAATGTTTGAAAGGAATTTCCTGAGAGTGTCCCAGGGATTACGTCTGACACAAGATTCCATGGTGTGACTTCCTGTTCTCTTCCCTCTGGAAACCCACACCCAAGTCAAATGAATCCTATGAGGACCGGCCATCCCTACTTCAACCTAGCAGCTAGAACACAACCTGTCTCTTAATATTTGTACCACAAACCATGTATGGTCTCTGAGAAACAGACCAGATAGATGCCCTGCGTGTAGGACAAGCAGGCAGGGTATTCAAGTATCCATTATAGAACTTTCCAGAGAGGTTGGATGAAAATCCACCGTCACTGCTCTAAAGATATTTTTTCAAATGGTTTGTGCCTCATCGCCCCTGTTTGTTTTGCGTCTTCGTTGATATGAGCAGCGCACATGCTCCTGGTGGCAGTCAAACATCTAGACGTTCAATGCTCTGTGTGCTGCCCACGTGCTGGGTGTGCTGTGGCTCCTGACACACTATTTCACAGTCTGAGACCCAGAGAGGAGGGGAGGAGGGAGATTCGCGAGCCGGGCAGGATCATAATTCTGGAAGCGGCAAGCAGAAGGACTTTGTTTCCTCCTTGAAATCTGAATCCTTATAAGGTAGTGTGCAGGGACCCAAGCGAGGCTCTGAGGCATCTTTCTTGGTCCCTTGAGTACCTGAATCTGACTTTAACACTAGTGGGTAGCACAGAGCTGATTTGGGCCTGGAGGACGTGACATAACAAGAGAGCCGTGCTTGTGAGAATAGACAGTTTGTTAAGGAGACCGTCAGTGAGATGGTAGCCGGGCCTCCAGTTGCATTTAGTTCTGAATTTTAGGAAGGATTACACAAGGGGGCGCTAGACGCTCACTTGGGCTACGCGTGAGGATTCAGGGATGATGGGGGAATCCTGGGTAGAGAGGGCGTTAGGCAGCCATGCTTGGTGGATGACTACCTGTTCATGGGTGGATTGGATCATAACCAGAAGCGATCATTGCCATTTCGCTTGATTTGTTCACAAACATCAATTAAGCAAAGTCAGAACGAAAAATACTTTAGAGAAATTGGCGTGGTTCCAGGGCTCAGAGACATCCAAGCTCCTAGACTCCTTGAGCGTTGGAGGATTTCCTGGGGGAATGAACCACAGAGGCCCCCAGAAAACATCACCAAACCCACGAGGGAAAGGAGCACTTCTGAATCAGGGGGTAGTAATTCTAACCTGGGAGACCAGAGGAGAGAGGACAATGGCGAGGGAAGACCTCAAGGGGGCTGCTGGGTGAGCAGGAAGAGTGTGTGTAGAGGTCAGGACAGTGCCGCAGATGCCAGCGAGGGGACGGACATCCCACTGCGGCTTTGGATGTCTGGTTAAGGAGGAAGGCTGAGTAGGAAAAGGTCCAGAGAAGGGTATTTGGGACCGAGAGCGAGCCGCCCAGCACTCTCACGGAAAGAATGATTGAGGGAGGAGCTTTCGCTAGGGTGGGCCTCCACAAACCCAAGATGACTTCTGCAACAAGGACCCTTAAGGTAGACAGCAGAGTGGTCCCTACTCGTTGCAGATGCTCCCTAGTTCCCAACGCCAGGCCAGGCAGGGCCCCTTCACTCTGCTCCTGAGCCTCCAGACTCTCAAACGGCAACGGGGTCTCTGAAACCGACTTCAGACACCCACAGTTCTCGGTGTGCGAAACAGCCGGGACTCTGGTCCAGTGCCCGATTTTGTTTTTCCTCTCTCTCCTTCCTCCTCTAGATTGTGTGTGGGGGCGGCTCCTCAGCCAGGAGTTCCATCCTCCACGGGGTCGGCAGTAGATATCCGAGGTGTTAACTGTGTGGGTTTGTGTCCTTTTGGCAGGTGTCTCCTCTGTGACGTCCCTGATGTCCCTGGCTTGGGTGCTAGCCTCCTATCACAAGCTGCTGCGGGACTCGAGGGACGACAAGAAGAGCATGAGTTACCGAGGGGCCCTCATCCACCTCTTCTGGCGCCTTTTCACCATCTCCTCCCGGGTTATCTCTTTCGCCCTGTTCGCTTCCATCTTCCAGCTGTATTTCGGGATCTTCGTGGTGGTGCATTGGTGCGCCATGGCCTTCTGGGTCATCCATGGAGGGACAGACTTCTGCATGTCCAAGTGGGAGGAGATCCTCTTCAACATGGTGGTAGGGATCGTGTACATTTTCTGCTGGTTTAACGTCAAGGAAGGGCGGACTCGATACCGAATGTTCGCATACTATACGATAGTCTTGACCGAGAACGCTGCCTTGACGTTCCTTTGGTATTTCTACAGAAACCCGGAGAACACTGACTCCTACGCCGTGCCAGCACTGTGCTGTGTCTTCGTTAGCTTTGTGGCTGGGATCGCGCTCATGCTCTTATACTATGGCGTGTTGCATCCCATGGGGCCGCGGGCTAAGGTCTTTGCCAGCTCCTGTTGTGCCGAGCTGCTCTGGGGCATCCCTTTGCCCCCCGATGTTGAGCCCATGGCACCTCAGACCCCTGGGTACCGGGGGACCCAGGTCACTCCCACCAGAGCCGTGACGGAACAGCAGGAGGACCTCACGGCTGATACTTGCCTGCCTGTATTCCAAGTGAGACCCATGGGGCCCTCCACCCCGTCAGGGCGTCCTTACCACCCAGAAGGGCCCCTGATTAAGATTGACATGCCAAGAAAGAGGTACCCGGCCTGGGATGCGCACTTTGTAGACAGGAGGCTGCGGAGGACTATTAACATTCTGCAGTACGTCACCCCCACCGCAGTGGGCATTCGCTACCGAGATGGGCCTCTGCTTTATGAGCTGCTGCAGTATGAGTCTTCACTCTAGAACACCTTGACCCAGATTGAGAAGGGGACCTTAAGTCTGGTTGCGGTCAATGCCGCCTGCAAGAAATATAACCCTCCCTTCCCCCAATACACAGAACCACCACCACCACCGCCACCACCACCACACCGCCACCACCAACACTACAAACAGATCAATGAGTCACATCCCCTTCAGATAAGCTTTCTTTCCAGTCACTATATGTATACAAAGATATTCTCTATGTTTTGTAAGTAAAAACAAAGAAAAGCTTTCTTTTGTTTTTTACACATAAGAAACAGTATTGAAAAAAAAATTAATCCCACACTACAGTTCCTAGGGTGGAGAAGGAGGAGCTCTCTCCTCTCCAAAAGAAACAAAAAAGTTTTCTACTTTACACCAAGTGTAGATCATTGATGGGATTGGTGCTGATTGAGAGAACAAAACAAAACTAAACTAAACAAACAAACAGAAACCTTCAACTGCCTTATGCCCTTAGGTGCTGAGTTTCTTTAGGTACTGTCTTGTTTTCTCACACAAAACTCTCTGGTGACTTTCACACCAGGAGAGAAAAAAAAATTAAATAATCAAACGAAACAAAATCTACCAACAAAACAAACAAATTAAAACAACAAACAGATACCACACCAAAAACGATCCTTCCTATCTGATGATTTGTATTGAAAAACAAACAAACAAACAACAAACAAACTGACCAAAAGCAAAGGCATAGAAACCCCTCTCTTTATTCAGTTTCTCTTGCCCCTTTCCCATTTTGCAAAGCCTTCTAGAAGCTACTTGGATCTCCACTGGCCGGAAAAGCTACTGGAAGGCTGACTATGTGCCATTTAAACATTTGCCTAGCAAGAATTGCATTGTTTTTCCTGTGCAAAACAAGAAAAACAAACAAAAAAAAGGCAAAACAAAAACAAGAATGAAACCCCCCAGACACCCAATTTGGTAAATTCTAAAAGCAGATCAAAGGAAATGTCCACAAACACCATCAAAGAGAATCATTAATGATACAACTCAGCATGGTAGCAAAAAGGATGACTTCAATTTAAAGGCACAATACTTAGTCCCTGACTGGTGACAATGATCTCTTCCGTCGTTTTAGGGCTGAGAAGGGCGCGTGTGTGTCACGTGTGACAGTGTGGAAGGCCTCTTCTCTTTCCATTTTTGGTAGGGAGCCTTAAACTGATCCGTAAAGAGTTTTTCTTTTTTCATTTTTCATTTGTGCTTTTGAAAAATAACATAAAGAGGAACACTAGACTATCGATCTCTATATCAAAAAGTCAAATCGTATTAACCAACCCATTTCACAGACTGGTGCTTCTGTCAATGTGGTTGGCTGAGACTCATTCAGCCTGGTGCATTTGGGGTGAGTGGACTGTGTGTGTGTGTGAGAGAGAGAGAGAGAGAGAGAGAGAGAGAGTGTGTGTGTGTGTGTACACCTGCTGTAAGGTCTTGCCAGAAATAACAAAGTTGAAATGAGGCAGATACTGTGGTAGCTGGGAAAGGGAAATGTAAGGGGCTGGATGGAAAGGTGGGCAAAGTGGCATCTGAGTGTGCCATCCACCTGGAGAGCAAGTCCCTACCCAGCAGCAGAAACTGTTCCTCCAGGCCCTGTGGCTTTGGTGAGGATTTGAGACAACTGTTTATTTTTCTCACTATACCAAGGTGAATTTCTGGAGGTGTCACAAGTATGGTTGACCATTTGTAAAATTTTTAATTTGTTTTTGGAAGGTACTGTTCCTTTAAAGAGTATTTCTGTTTTAGGGTATTATTTTGATACCATTCTATCTCACTTGGGCACACATTAGGAAAAATGAAAGAAAAGAAAAAAAGAAAATTAATCATAAAAAGAAAAATATCTCTGCAAAAGATATATATGTGTAAATATATATATATCTATATATACATGCACAGTATTTTTAAGTACATACTGTTAGTCTTTATTGTCTGTGGTTGTGATTATTTTTTTAATTCTGGATGTAACTGTTCAGGGTGCAAGACCTCACACTGAGCTATACTTAAGAGAAGTTCAAAAACTGAGGAATTTTTTATGTTTGATGAATTTTTTATATTTTATTTTAAATAACTATTCAAAAAAGCCCCTCCTTGTTACTCCTTCATGGTTTATTCAAATCTTTTTTTTTTTCTCCCTTAAACCTTAAAACATGTATTAGTTGTGAAACTAACTGCTCCCTCCTTTGTCCCACCCACCCCCGTATCTCATGCATTACTGCAACTTTGCAGGACCCCTAATATGGGGTCTCAGAGGGTCCTACCTGGTCCCTGCTCTGGGAAGCAGGATACAAGCGAGCACACTTGGGCTGAGGTGAAGACAAACTGGGCTGCCTCTGCCAGGTGGGAGCAAGCCAGGGAGAGAGGGACAGCTTGGATCTGTGCATGAAAGCAGTGAACAGAGGGAGCTCCCACAAGACTTGTTCAGTCTGTCTTCAGCACCTGCTGGGGCTCTGTCCCCAAGCTCCAGCCCATGCTCTGCTCAGACTGGGGAACTGAAGAGGTCATCTGTGGGGTGGCTGGGCAATCCTCTGGCCAGCTCTGATCCCGACTCTTGTTCTTCCCAGGTTTGGGGCTCTGTGTGGCACTGGAATAGCTTCAATGCCGCATGAGCCCTCTGGACCCCTGCCACCTTACTTGTCCAGCCTTAGGCATGCTTCCATTCTATCTCTTGCTCTTTGATCCCACCATTGGCTTTAGCCTGCCCCCTCGGCGTGACTGCTCCATCTCTAGCGCGCATGCACAAGCACACGTGTCCATGTTTACACAAAGCTAAGAAACTGCGGGTGTTGACTGGGAGCATCCAACGTCGGGAAAACAGGTTCCAGCCTAGGGAAGCCTTAGCCAGGGGAAGTGAGGGAGGAGGAGGTCATGATGTCTCACCAGCCCAATGGTGTAGCCTTGGTGAGTCTGGACTCCTTTCCTTCTTTAGTAGCATTCCTGTCCCTCTCTCTAGACTCCTCCGTCATGCCTTACCTTTCCCAGTAATGCAGTAGAAAATGTACATCTTTGGGCAGTAGCCTGGACGACCACAGAGACAAGAAGAGGGGTGAAAAGTGAGCCAAGAAGCAGAGAGCAAAGCAGAAGGGAGCAAAGACGGAACGATCTGGTTCCTCTGGCGGCATGGCCCCCATCATCATACAGAGCCCCATTTCCTGTCTCCTTTGTTCTTAGGCATTGCTTCCCGTGGAATCTTCTAGTGTCCTTCTCCTTCAGAGGCTATTGGTGGCTGGCTGATTCCCAGGTGTCACCAGTGGACTTCACACATCCTCAGTGTCTTCCTCCCAGATGACCTTGGCACCCCACAGCAGGACCACTGCACCTAGCAGAGTATCTGCTCCCCCCCCCCCGACAACTTTCCCTTTCACGAGTTAACAAATCCATCTAAGTTTTCCCCAGCTGTAACCTATAGTGCTTGCAAGCGAAATCTCTGCACCTGTTTTTTTCACTGGACCTCTTGATGGCAAACAACCAATTCCAAGTATTTAGCTTTGGTAGGTAAGCCTGTTGGTACCTCGTTCTTTCTTTTCATTTTGTCCCCACCCCCCCACACACATAGATTATGCCAAAAGACCTCCGTATTTCATTTCTCTAAGCACATACAGAACAGTTGTCTTTTTTATATTTCTAAGAAATATGGTCCAATCAGTGGAACAAGAACTGGTTTTGCTGGGTTTGTTTCCGCAAGCCTCCCCTCCACCCCTCAAGCTTGGATGGCCCTGCCTTGGGACTCTTCAGGTCCCTTAAGGACATAATGAGGAAAGTTAAGAGGATCTAAGCCCATCAAACCTGCTCCCATTGACTCCATTCGCCCCAGAATTTCTGATTTCCCAAACACAGTCGGTCTCTATAAAGTGTTTCTCTGCTCTTTAAGGTCAGACTTGTCCCATAACTGGAACCAGGGATGTCAGGACGAATCCACAAGGCCCAAGTAGATTGGGAGCTGGAAGACAGCAGGCTCTGTCTTCCCAACTGTCCGAATCACCCAATTCTTTGTCGCCCCTGTGGCCTCTCAGCAGCAGTGACTCCTAGGGTCCCATGGTGACTAAATGAGGGCGGATCCTCTCTGGTCCCAAGGACAACTGTCCTGGTCATGTGACCTTTCATGCTACTGGCTTCCGACCCAGTACAAACCCAATTCTCAGAAAAGCATACGGGTTTTTTTTTTTTAAAGCACCAAATCATATTCCTTTCTCCATTCCTCCTGCAGCCTGACCTGTTGTCACCGCCAGATGTTTGTCTCCCTCTGAGCAGCTCTGGGAAGGTCGGGTGCCCCTTCTTCACTTGCATCTGAGTTCACTTGCATGAGTGCCCCATGTTCTCCCAAAAGAATTAGTGATTTCATTTCCCCTTGTCTATTCCATGCCTCACTAACTGGGTCTCTCATGAGCCCTAAGTCTTGATGCTTCTGGACCTGTGAAAAATTCTCTACCTTGAAGCAGAGCAAGATGGCTGCCGTATGCAGGTTTGGGCCCCTGGTGTATGTAGAGGAGTCTAGATGAGAATAAGGTTAGGGTGTGACCAATACCCGGCGGTGCTAAGAAGTCTTGATCCAGGTGGTTGTGTATGGTCATCTTGCACCTACTTGCACAGCAATTGGCAAATACTAAAATAACCGCACCAGGTCTGGTTTGAGGCATGGGATACAAATTTGGCATGAAAAGGGAAGAGAGGTCGGTGTAAATCCAAGGGCCCAAGTGGCAATTGAAAAACTGACAGGGAAATCTAAGCATGCTCCAGGGAATCCTGGGAAAGACAATACAGAGGAGAAGGAGAGGACTCTAAGGAGTCAAGCTCTTCCAGTGCCCAGCCAGTCTCCCAGGGAGCAGTTTTAAGCACTGCATATCAAACACCCACCGATTCCTGGGCTCCGGTCTTCTCAAGACCCAAAATCCCTTCCTGCAGGAAGGAAGCTAGGCTTATCCTTTGTTCCTTTCATCAAGGACATGAGGGGGCATTATGGGAGCCTCCTCCGGGTTCAAGTATGTCCTTCCACTATCTCCTCTCCTCAAACAGCTCTGTCCCGGTTTGAGCAGCTTTCCTTTCTCATCTACAGCCCAGCCTCTGGAATGTGGCATTGGTGATGATTATCCAGCTACAGCCTTATTAGCTCTTCAGCGCATCCTAAGTCAACATGTGCCTGTCTCGACTTTGAAATGTATGACAATGTCAAAGGCAAGCCCGTTTTCTTATGGGTTTTCTCTAAGCCTTTCCTTGAGGGAAAGGAAGATGTAGTGACAAAGTCTGCCTCGCCTTTCCCATCTCTGGATGGTCTAAAGGTTTCTGGTTCATACTCCAAATGCTGTAGCTGTTGCTACTGGCTGAATGCCAGAAGACACTGACTTGACCTAGTCCTGGCTTTCTCCTCTGCTTACCCAGCTCTTTCTGCCTTGTTCAGCTCCCAGGCATCATCTTCTTTCTCTCGGTACCTTTCTTTGCAGTGACTGGCAGGACACAGCAGGAATGTTCTGGAGCCAAAGGTCATGAGTGCTATTAATGATGGCTCCAGTGCAGCAGACAGACTGCCTCCGCAGGGGATGCTCCTTCTCCAGGCCAGCACCTGTGCCAGGGGCTAAGAATAGACCACAGGGACGGGAGCAGGTGGGACCTAGGGACACCTGCCCTGGGATGCCCATTGCGTGAAGAAAAATGTGACTGCCCAAGTAGGAGATGCTGTCCTGTGCTGGTCCCCAGCAGGAATCCCTCACCCCCTCCTCACACTGAAGTCAGTCAGCCATCAGTGTTCCAGCTTTCAGGGAGGCTAGCTTCTGGAACATCACCCTCCACGCCAAAGGAGAAAGGATATTTATGACTTCTCTCTTGGTACAGTGCTGGCTGGTAACCGTGAGAGCACCTGTCTCTAAGTAACCTTTGGCCATCTGTCACTGCGGATACAGTCGAGCAGTCCATCCTCGATGTAGCCCTGGGGCCCTCAGGCTTAGACACTTGCTTTAGCTTCACACTTCCTAGGTGCTCTCCCTAAAGCCAGAAAGACCATGAAGGGCCACAGGCCGATACAGGGCTCCACTGCCGTCATGGGTGCCACTTCGCCTCTTGGTGCCTTGGTTTCTCCATCATAAAGTGGATGAAGAGCAGATCAGGCCACCTCTGCTTTCCCGCCTGCTCAGGGATGCTCTGAAGATTCAGTCAGTGCTGTCTGTAATGAAGGCATCTCATAGGAAGAAGGGTGACCCCACTTCTTGGGGACTAGAAGTATGTAAAAAGAGGAGGTTTTCAGGTACACTTGGTACCCAGAAGCCCAGGAGGTGAGCAAGATGGACATGCGAGCAGGAAGAGAGCCCTGGAGTAGTCAGCTACATCGCAGCATTGCTAACTCGGTACAGTAGCAGCTGGCCAGGGACATCCGGTCACCTGACTCCTGCTAGGCATCTGTCAATCCTTACCTCCCACGATGTTAGTTTTTCCTGAAAGACCAAGGAAGACACAGGGGAGTCTGCTTCTGGGAATGGATGTTCACTGAGGACCTGACAGGCATGAGGTGGGATGAGCAGAGCAAGTCTGGAGATGGTGTGGGGGGTGGCCGGAAGCTCTTTGGGAAGTATCTCAAAGCCTTGGGGTTTCCCTTCTCAAATGGACTCATTCCCCTCCAGCTCCCCTGCAGAGGATGGAAAGCTCAGCTGTGCTTTTCCAACACCTGTCTTGCCAGCTACAAATGCTTGGG